AATAATGAAGCATACATGAAAAGATTTCAATAGAATTTTCCTTGGTAGATTATAGAAAAAATCTGGGAAAATCTTATATGTCCAAAGATAGCTTACTCTATAGTATAAACTATAAGCTGCATTAAGAGGAAAGAAACCTTTGTTTTAAGCTGATGTATATCCTGTATTAATTTAAAAATTTACCATGTGGTATCATAAATATTTGTTATTTGGTGAATAAAAGTTGGTTTTAGCTAGATGTAGCGGCACATATCTATACTCCTAACACTAGGAGGCTGAGGCATGAGGACTACAAGCTTGAGCCCAGCCTGGGCTACTAATGAAATCCTGCCTCAAAAAAATTAAAAAGACCTGGAGATACAGTTTTGTATGGGGCCTAAGATTAATCTCTAGTACTAAAAAAGGATGAACATTCTATAATATATTTGAAGGAAAGTACTCAGGGCTTTGAAATGACAGCATTACAGTTTGTATATACTAACTTTCATTGAAAAAATAACAAAATATCAAACACAGTTATTCTACCTAGTGAAAAAAAGGCAGAATATGCCGTAAAGGGGGAAAAATGCACACAAGTACATAGTGTTATATAACTTCCACGTGCCCTCTTCTTTTCCTATGTTCTAGGCAGCTGACATATTGACTGCATCAATAAACTCCCTTGCCCCACTTCATTTTCATTTGCGTTCAGCCACATGCAAGAGATGGAGGGAGGTGAATAAGGTAATATATTTATTCTTCTTGGAGCCATCCCTGAAGCACCACCCTTGATAGTCTCTGCTTGTCAGTCATAGCTCACAGTTCCTGTTGGGGCCTTCTCTACTCAGCTCTGTCTCAGTTCAAGCCTACACTTAGAAAGGATCTATGCTCTTATGAGTCCCAGGTATAGCACTATTCTGTATAGTTTCTCTATAGCCTAAAAGTATCTTGTGGGGCAGGGCTGTGTAAGGGTGAAGTTGCTGACTACAATCTTTGAAGACAAGATAAAGCTGCAGCTGCAGTCTGCTGAACCTCACTCAAAGGATTCAAGGGCAATAAAACTGCTAACCTTAGAGATCAAACAACTCTTTTAATTGGCAAAATTTACTGCCTTTGTTCTAATTTGTCAAGGCCCTGCTCATTTTCTCAGGCTTTTGCGTCAACTGTACTCTTAACTTCCAGCACCCCACAATTTGTGGAAACCCAATAAATACAGTGATCCAGAAAAGCACTAGTCTTATCTTCAAGAGAGTTCTGACCTTTCTGGACTCCCACAACCATACTTGCAATTATCTTTATTTAAACCCCTTCCATAAACTCATCTCTAAAATCAGGCACCTGATGAGCTATCAACAGTATCTCAGAAATAACCCGAGGGGTGGGGGAAAGAAAGTCTTTTGAGTTCCTTGCTGGGATCCTGATACACATGTTGGTTTCTAGCATATTCTATCATACATCCCTCACAAGGACTATTAGATAACTTTACAATACATCTCTAAAGCATTCCTTCTCCTCTCTGTATAAATACTTCATCCTGCCTTCTGTTTCTCAAACCACCACCAACTCTTCATTCTCACTTGGAATTCCCTTATCCTCCTACTTACTGACCTATACCTATTCTCATATCATCTGCCTTCCCTCCATTACTAAGGATAAAACTCTACGCTCCTAAAAACAGTCCATCTGCTTGTTCACACTAGGATACTATCTCCTTTGTATCACGTTTCTCATTCAACTGAATCCTTCTAATCAACATAAAAACCAAGGTTGCATCATCTATCTTATAATAAAATACATGAATAAATACATAAACTCCCTTCCATATTTGTACTCTACTATTGTCTCATTCTTCTACTCTTAATAACAAAATGCTTCCAAAGAGTGACATATAACAATGACATCCAACAGAAATATGTAAGATAAATATATAAGTTTTCCAATAGTCACCATAAAAAGTAAGTAGAAATAGGTGAAAATAATCGAATATTATTTAATCCAATATATCTAAAATGTTATCATTTCATCATGTAATCAGTGTAAAAATTAGTAATGAAATATCTTGCACTCATTTTTATACTGAATCTACAAAAGCCAGCATGTATTTTCCAGCTCTAGCTATCTCAATTCAAGATAGTCATATGTGACTGCTGGCTACATTATTCCAAGTCTAGACTGACTGTCCCCATTCTTTTTGTGGTCCCACCGTCTTAAAAAATGAGGTAAAATGTCTGTTAACAGAGTCAAAGCAACTTACCTGACACATAACGTTACAAAGGCCAACAGCCATTCTTCCTTCTTCAGTTTCTCTTTTGGTAAAGAACAAAATGTTGAAAAGGAAGAGTTAAAGAAGGAAAAATGACATTCTTGTTCTATGCTGCTGGTGTGTGATTCACAGATACAACTACTGTCCTTCATGACATCCACATCCTGCTTATGCGGAGCAGTCTTACCTTTTACAAGATCTGAAAAAATTTGTGAAAAAGTTCAATTCAATGCTGAACTTAACCTTGAAAGTCTTAACCTATATTGAGGACACGTACTCCAAATGGAAGAAAATCCAAGTCTACCCTGTGGCCAACAAGGCAGGTTATCATCTGGCCCCTGTCTATCCTTTGATCTCATTTGCTATCCTTTTCCTTTTCATTCATTCCTCTCTGTATTATTCCTTAAACACTATGCACACTTGTCCTTCATGGCTGTTGCTCTTGCTTTTTCTTTTATCTGGAAGGCTCGCCTTCTAAATACCAACAGGTGTCTCTCCCTGGACCTGTTCCTGTGTGTGTTGAGTTGTCACCGTATCAGAGAGACTTCTCTGAAAATTTTAGCCACACAGAACCTCCTTCCATTTATGCCCCTTTCCTTATCCAGAGTTAGTTTTTTTTTTTAATTTATCACCATTCTTCTTAGAATTTATCTGACAGTGTCATACACATTGTGTTTATTCTTTATCTTTCCACATAAGATTAAGATCCAAGAAAACTAGTACTTGTTTGGTTCACTGGTGTAGTTTAGCACTAGAACAACACTGTAAGTGCTCAAACCAGATAAATGAACAAATCTACTGTCTCTCCTATAATATATATAGCAGTATTGCGACTGCTGTGCATGTTGTTATCTCATACACTCCTCAAAAAATGAAAAAGAAAGTATTATTATCTTCATTTTACTAGTAAGTGAAGTGGAGGTTCAAGAAGTTTAAACAACTAACTCAGAGTCATAAAAGTCCAAATGAAAAGTGGCTCAAAAAATTGTTCTTCTTTCAAGGAGTCACAATATCTGGATGGAAAATACTCAACAAAACCTGGTCAGTTACACAACAATACTCAACAAAACCTGGTCTTCTTTCAAAACACCACAACATCTGGAGGGAAAATACTCAACAAAATTGAGGTCACATAATCCTTAAAGAGGGATGGTAAATATTACTTTTGCTACCACACAGAAAAGCAGTGGCATAAGGGAAACACTGACAAATTTTCATACTAAACCAACAAGCTATGTAGCCTAAAGTAAGTTGCTTGTATTCTCGGAGCCAGGATGAGACGAGATGAAAATGCTCCATGCTGTTGGCTGGGATCAAGCCTCAAGATAGAAGCTGTGACTTCCTGGGGCTTGAAAGATTA